GGCCGGCCCAGCCCTAAACCACGACACCCCCCAAACTCCCTCATTTGAAGATTTAGAGCAGAAACCGCAATTCTAGATACAATTGAGGACAGGGTACAAACAGTCAAAACATGACAATGCACAAGCTATAATAACAAGAAAGCGCTATATCCAGAATAAACCAGTTGGCCACAGAGGGACCACAGTCCCTCATTTCAGCAATCATTTCAGCACTGCCCTTAAATTCCCATTAAACACAAATCCTGTTTTAGATGAAGGTTCTGTTAACCACAGACTATAAATTCAAAACCAGGCAGACAAGCACAGAGGAAACTAATATAGTTTAATTGCATAGGCTTAAGAAATGCAGTTCAACATACAGTAACTTTTAGTGACAGGTATATTGAAACTGAAGGCTATCTCTCTCTCTCTCTCTCTCTCTCTCTCTCTCTCTCTCTATATATATATAAAGAAATAAAAAGTGTATCATTAATTAACACAGTATTTTACAAAATTAACAAGATGTATTACATTGAAAAGCTTATCTGGCTGATTATTTAAAGTAGTAAGTAATACCTTAATTCATGGTTTAATTTTTGTTGTGACAGGTGGTTGTTGAGGTTTTTTTATGCTTTTCTGTTTTATACTTTCAGAGTAGATAGGAAATGGTACATATCAGTTTGACAAAGGATGCCCTTGATAAGTTTTAGCTTAAAAAAAAAATCACAGCAATAGAAAGCAAAGAAAACAGATAGTTAATTATAAATTGTTTTAAAAATCAGTTAGGGAAATACATAGGAAAGGAAGAAGTACATTAGAAAAATATATGGGTGCTTATTAAAACCTTTGAGATTCAATGCTCAGCTTTGGTGCCTGACCAAGGTGAAAACAATAAGATCAGTCACGATGGTCCAGAAGCCAAAGGGCTGACTGGTGTGAACATCTCTGTACTTTCAGTACTGCACACATCCTCAAAATTGGAAAAGGATGAGCTGCTTTCTTTCAAGCTAAGCACCAGCATAAGAAACAAGACAAAGAATGTTACAATAATAAACATATTACTTTTATAAGAAGAAAACTCTGGAGAAAAGCTACCATTGATATTTATACAGTCAAACCTAAAGCTTTTCACAATGCCTCATAAAACTAAATTTTATATCGCATACACTCCTTCATGTACTTTAGTATTCTAACTCCCTCTTATTTTAAAATAGGCAATTTTATTCTAATATCAAGTAAATTATGCCATTTGGTGTAGGGAGCAGCCTTTATTATTTCCAGTGAAAAGGAATGAACAGCATTTATATTAAAAAAGTGGTTAGCATAGCTCAACAGACACTCTGAGAAATTTGCCATGTATTATTCTGAAAGCATCTAAAATTTTCAGTCCCTGAAATCAGTTTATGACACTAATTATGAAATAATGCATATCAAGACTGAATTCTCCCTTATTTAGCTCACTCCTGGTTTAGAAAATGTATCTTCTTCATTTTTTGTCGTCTTCCACTCTAAATTCCCCAAGGGTTCCTTAAAATATTAACAAAATCATCATCATCCATGATTCCAATACTTAATCCTTCATAGTAATCTTCGAACTCAGAATAAGACACTTCATTGGGGTTGCTGCAGGATTCTCCTAATGTTTCTAGAAATGACGATTTAATTTCTTCTTCTGTAGCTTTGCCTGTGAAAGTATATTTTTCCATTAAACACATTTTCAAGAATAGTGACCATACAGCATTTCATATACTTCAGGCAAGAAACTTTCAAATTTTAGCTTCCAAATATTTTTTTCTTGAACAAATTCAACATTCTTATTTCAGAATTGGATCACTGGCTCACTCAATACCAGCTGCAGAAATCATCTTCCTTTAATAGCACATGATAGCATTAGATATCAACAGAAACATGAGGCCACAGTCAATTTCAATGAATTAAGAGAACAGTAACACTTTTTTTCTTCAAATGACTTCAAAAACTGAATAATGCATTTGTAAACTAAAATCTTGGTAATTCAGACGTTACCTTGTAATACAGCAAATGTTTAATGTAACACAAGTCCAAAGCTCTAGGAAAACCTTAAGATGCAAGTTTGCATTCAAAAAGTGTTCTGCAATTTACATGTGCATTCTAGTAACTTAATAAATATTGTACTCAAGATGATTTCATAGCATTGAGAAAAAAAAATGGAAAAAATATAGCATTATACCACTGGAAAAAAATGCATGTGTAACATCCCTACATTACCACGTGTCTTCATGGTGTTACCATTAAAATCAGGGGCAATACAAAAAAAAATCCTCTCTTCTATAGGGAAAACAAAAAGGGCCAAGACAGTAGGGAGAGTTTCACAGTCACTAGTTTGGTACATGGAGATGTTATTCTAGAAACTGACATACAAATATTTAAACTCCATTTTTTTCAGTAGCAGGGTTTAAACATTTTTGAAAATCCTAAAAAAGTAATGAAGATACCAACATTCACTCTGTAAAGGATGACAATCCTGTCCCAGAAATAAATGAATAATTTATTCAGAAGAAACTTCAAGTGCTGACTACATTCAGTGTCAGTTAGAAACCTTGCATACTTTGATGGAAAACAGTAATATGAAATATCCTATGTGTTACTGATAACTTGCACACCAAAGCTGAGAAACAACTTTGTCAAACAAATGTAGTCCTACACAAGCAGGGAAAGAAACTACTCCACATATATGGAGTAAATGCGGCTTGATAAAAAGCAGGTATTAAAATTGTGTATATTAACTCAATTAGTATATATATGGTCAGGTTCCAGATAGACACAGCAGAGGTAATCAGAGGGAAAAAATGTTCTCCTTAGAAGCTCAAGTCTAAGCCAACATGAAAACTGCTTGTATTTGCAACCAGTTTCTGGATCTGGTATCTCTGCTAACAAGATTACTTCAGTAGTTACAGATTTTTGTTGTTGTTGTTGTTCACCTGAATTACCTGTCAATACTAGGGGATGTTTCTTCGCACAGTAACATTTTGTGATATCTACCATAGGCACACTCCCAGTTTTGTTGAAATCTAGTTTCATATAAGCCTATAAGGGAAAAAAAGTTTAATGTAAGCATATAAGGGAAAAAAAAGTGGAAAGATGTAAAGATTAAATATTCTTAAATACCTAGCACATATTTTTAGATCTTGTGCAATGTATGATGTCAATTTGCCTATTTTATGTAAGGCACCAGATACAGGAAAATTACTCTAGATTATGAAGCTTCATTATTATTTTATCTCAACAGCTTTCACATCAAATGTGGTCCCCTCACCTACTGAAAAAAACCTGTCTTCTCTCCAAAATTTCTAGCTCACCCTTAGAATCCAAAGTTAAGCTGCTTCCCTTCTGACTCCTCCAATTACTAAGATTACTGCATCATTCTAACAGAGGCCTCAATGCAGCCACTTCAGCACTGCTACAGAGCAGCTCCATTTTCATTCAGTTTATTCAAATACACATGCTTAGTATGTAAGGCCAGGAGAGCCAGATTCTCCACTATTAAAAGTATGAAAGTATACGTTATTTTTCTGAATCTTGATATCCAGTCGCTACTCTATTGGCTGGTTTATAATCAGTGTTTCATACTACAAATGGTTCCACATAAAATTAGGGACATACAACAAATGGCATTTCCAATACAAGAAGTCTCACAAATATGAGTCTAATTGTAGGTCTCAAAGGAGGCAAGTATTATTGCCTCCTATTTCAGATACTGAGGGAAAAAAATCTGCACACAGATATAGTGATCTGTCAAAATAAGAAAACAGAATTCTGGAAGAGACAGTTTTAGGGTGCCAGGTGTTTCATACACTTCAGTGAACGGTAAGAATAGCACACACATGCATAACTCAAAATAATAAAGGAATTAATTCTAGAATTTAAAATTAACTAATTCAACAATGGAACAGCATGCAGGCCTCTAATTTATGTTTATTTTAGTAAACTGATCTAAAAGTTTAAGAAGTCAATTACCAGATGCACAATTTAAGAAAAACAACAACAAAAATACACCAACAAGAAGAACATGAGGAATAACTAACTCCAAAGTTAGACTGTGAAGTATCTACACTTAGAATATCTGCAACAAAACTTACTTTTCTTACAAACGCTTTCCTATATTCATTCATTTCTCCAAATACGGCACGAGTAAATTCTCCATAGTCAACCTTACCACTCTTGCTGTCATCAAGAATAAGCCATAAGGATTCAAATTCCTGTAATTTAAAAATAGTTTACCAAAGCTCTTCACTATGTCCTAGATGAAAACAATTGCTATAATAGGAAATTACAGTATCCTCACAAAAAACAAGTTCTTAATCCAAACTGACTCAAAGATTTGTCAAAATAATGCAAATCATCATCAGTCACTGATGATAAGAACTCACATTTTTTGCAGTTTTGATAGCTGTGGGCTATTTTTAAAACATAATATATAAAACAAAGAAAAAAAGATAAGTAAATGGCCCAATCTAAATTATTTTTTAAGGCCAAAAAAAGAAAAAATGGATTGCAATCTCACTTCCTTCTTCATGATGTTAAAAGACTGCATGTTTTTAAACATTATTTTTTATTTTTAAGAATTTCATGTAGAACTGAATGCAGAAATGCCAACATATCACACGGGGAGGGGAACCAAAACCTCACAAACCAGCTATAAAACTATAGATTTAAGCAAAGAAAATAAGTGATTCCATAAATTAAAGTAAGATAATACCCATGATTACAGTTTCAGCTAGACTTACCTCTTCAGGCATTTCCAAGTGGAATACTTTTAGAGCTTCTTTAAAGGCTGCCTGAGAGAGAAAACCATTTCTGTTCTTGTCTACTTGTCGGAAATATTTTCCTAAGCCTGTTATAACCCGAACTGCTCTCTTACTTAGCGTCTTTCTGAATACACCTGAAGTTTTAGAGAAACAAAGGACACAATGTTTACCTGAAGTTGGCCACTTGCTATGGAGCTGATAAAAATGTAAAGAAAACTACAGCTATTTATGATACTGCTAGTTAAAATGACACATTCACACATCCAGGCTCCCTTATCTTTGATGAGAGAATGTCAGTTCAAAATGAAACTATCAGTTACTTAACATTCGAGTAGAAATCATATAAAGCAGCGGCAACATCCAGCAAAACTTTTCAAGTGATCACAGAAGAAAAGGAAAGAATGGCTCTTGCCCTCTATGTGCTCAGATTATAAAACTGCTTACTTCAGCTAGAACCTGTTACATACCATGATTCAACATACAAAGCAACTTAGGAACACTATGATAATACAAACATTCTATTATGGGACACAGAATTGCTCCTGCATTGTAAAAACTTGTTAAATACATAGGGAAACAAGAACAAATATAAGTAATTCTGCAAAATCGTTCCAAAATTATGCGCAGAGAACTATTACTATGGTAAAAATTACAGCCTTATCAAAACCTCTAGGTAGCAGGTTTACTTGATGTCTGAGTTTCTCAGCCTACTTTGTTAACAGAAGTCATCTCCTATTACCATTTATATCTTCAAATTGTATCTATAATTATAAAGCAAAATAGGGTGGAGGGTGACAGAAGGATGTTTTTTCCAGTGAAGTTCAATCTCAGACATATATTAAAAGATGTCTCAAAGCACATACACATAACCTTCCAGGCCACACCAGCAAACCTTAGATGTAGTCAGATAACTGAGAAATCAATTTGTGTCTATTATGTGCAGGGAAAAAATGGATTAACTAGAAGACTAAAAAACATCCGTAATTATTATTCCAACAATTTTTCTAAAAGTAAATGTCCAAGCAGATTTTAGCGACCAAAGAGTGCCTACTTAAAACAGGTTTAGGTAGTTACAGTAAATAGTGGAGATGTTACAAGCTGGAAGATGTTCAGTTCAGCAGTTTTTGTTGACAACAGGCTACAAAGATAATACACAGCACTGCATAAACATCTTTCCATCATTTTAAGCACAAAGTTATGCCTTTATCCTAAAGGCTGTAGGTAAGAACCTAGTAAAATTTATTTACATACTCTAGAATATATTACTCAATTATAATCTCATATTTTAATATGTGTAATATTCAAGACTATCAAAAAACCAACTTATCTATGCATAGAAATAATGGCCAAAAGTACTATTTAGCAGAAAATTAACTGAGGATATGAGATTGCAGTTGTACATTTTGCCAATAACTTTTCTTAGGTTAAAGCCACTTTAACACAGGATCAGCATTATGCTTCAGCATTTTTTCAGAGATTATGTCAACACAGAGACTAACATTTTATTGATTAAATTCACCATTATTCTGCACCATCTCCACAATCTTTAGCCAAACTGTTTATTTAAGAGAAAGTATTCTTTTGATTGGTTTATGCTAGTATCAAATTCTAGTAATATTCTGATAAACACCCAATTTTTGTCTAATTTCATTTATATAGATACAATCTAGATAATGTCACTACTGTTCTGTGCGTTGAGCTGCAAAGATGAAAATAATTAAAATTAAATTAAAATAAAATGCATTCTGGTAGATACAAACCTTGAACCTTCTTGAAAACTTCACTGTCATCAACCACTGGCTTGGAACACTCTTGCTTGAATTCCACAGAAGAAGCTCTAAAATAATAAAAATTAACGTTGACTAGTGATATTACTGAATTCAAAACATTTGTTGTGAAAAACATATTAAATTTTATATTCTTATACCGCCCTTGTAAGTATAGTATCCAACTGCTGGAGTTTGAGACAGCACACACAAAATTCCTTGCAGAACAGCTTGCAGAAATTCCTTTCTGATAATATTCCATTAGCAGCTCCTCTACCAATTCATTAATCATGGATGATTTCTCCTGTGCACAAAATCTCCAGAAATTTATTTCAAGACAGTCCTAATGTTCAGCTCAGGCCACTGGAAGATTTTGTTGAAGCAGCTACATTTAGTTCATGATGTTCACAGGAAAATAACATGAAGTAGATACAAATCTTTCCTTAGAAAAGAAACAGCAAGGGTGTAGACCAAAAGCTGGGTCAGCATATCATAGGTGTGATCTAGGAATTATAGTTAAATTTTGTCTTTTGTCTGGCAAGTCCCTTTCTGAGAAGGGCTTCCCAGAAGACCCCATCAGAAATTATTATTAAAGGTTGATAAAAAAATACTGTGGAAAACCTACATATAGAGAAAAAAAAAAGAAAGAAAAAGTCTTATCATTATTTTAACCAAGAATAGGAAGGCAAATGGAAAAGCACTACTGTCAACTTTTAGCTGCTTGTTCAACAGTGCTTTGCCATGGCATACTCCTTGTTCTGCTTTCTGAGGCCAAAGACTTGCCTTTCTGCTGCCTATTAAGACTTTCCATCTCCACTTTGGGTATCTCCCATTATGAAGCCCCTAAAAGCTAGCCTATATCAAACCACTTAAACTGGAAAGTCAGCAACCACCTACAAAGAACAGTGTACTCCCTCTAACATACACGTAAAACAAAAGATTCATGGCTTGTGACAGCAGGGCATAGCTGCTCCTGAAAACCTGTAATAGACTTTTTGGGCTGTACCTGAGCAGGATTCTTGGTGAGTAATGGAGGTAAGAGGGCTTAACTCGAGAGTTTTGTATCGGAGAATACTGAGTTCAACAACATCCCCATTCAGAAGAAAAATATGGACTTCATGATCTGAGATCTAGTCATTAATGGAAAGAACACAAAGAGGGAGTGTAAAAAAAAGAAACGATCTGTTCCACCACAGGTAGCACAAAATCCAAAATTATAGCCCAGTGAGCAGGTCTTCTCTCTGGAGCCTTCAGAGATTAATACTGGATCAACTCCACATTTCCCAGGTAGCAACAAATGAAAGAAAAAGCTGTTTAGCAGAATGATAGGCTTCTGAGTTGTAAAATGTCTTACATAAACTATCTGAAATTAAACTATATTGTGTTTTATTTCATGGAAACCTTGCAGAGAGGGAACAATTAGCACTAAGCATCATACAACTATATATTTCTATAACCAATTACATTTTAATTTACTGTCTTATCCACTGTTAGCTCACTATGGCTCCTTTGCAAAGCTTTCAGTGTAAAGGGACCTTAAAGTGAATATTACTGTAACTGAGAACAAGCTTCAGGTGTCTAAACACTTGCACAAAGAAAAATAATAGTTAAGTTGTGCTAACAGAAGTAGTCTTTAGATACTGAATGTATTGAATTGAGATTCTGTTATTGCTGTTCCTAATTAAGAAGGGGCTGAAGCATCTGATACATGAGAAGAGGCCAGGAGAGCTGGAACTGTTAAGCCTGAAGAAAAGAAGGCCTGAGGGATCTTATCAGTGTGTATAAATACATGACAGGAAGGAGTAAAGACTCAGACAGGCTCTGCTCGGTGGAGCCCAGTTACAGGATGGGAGTCTATGGGCACAAACTGAAACACTGGAGGTGCCTTCTGAACATCAGGAAACACTTCTGTACTGTGAGGGTGATCAGACACTGGAATAGGTTGTCCATAGAGGTTGCGGAGTCTCCAGCCTTGGAGATACTAAAAAATGCAACTGGATGCAGTCCTGAGCAACCTGCTGTAGCAAACCCTGCTCTGAGCAGGAGGGTTGGACTAGAGACTCTCTCGAGGTCCCTTTTTATGATTCCACAATTTTATGAAAATTTCGACTTTGTAGTATCTGCTATCAGCTAACATTCCTCACCACAATTTGAGTAATCAAACTCTGGCTATAGTTCCAACACTGTTAAGTAACTTCCATGTTCAGGCAACACAGCAGTGTGATAAATTTTATATCAACATTTTATTTGTGCTCATAACCAGTATATTCACAATAAAAACCAGAAACCCCAGAGAAAGCTGCTTCATTTCCTAGACAGTTTACTTCTGTATAGTGAGATGAGAATATTAGCTTAAAAATAACACATACTCAAAGATTAACCATTTACCTAACCATTTGAAAAAGTAGTAAGAAATTCCCGTATTTCAGACTATGAGACAACATAATTTACTAAAACATATTTGAAAGAATAAGTGCAGAAATCCTGTCCCAGTGCCTGAAGTCTTCAACATATGGCAATATCTGGAAGAAGGAAGAATGAAGGGATAGGAAACAAAGGAAAAAGAAAATTAAGAACAGAGAGAGAAACCTCAAATTCTTCCCCTGCCTGTGTCCAAAACACTTGAGTTACCATGACTGATACAAGCTTTTAACATAAGCTTCACAAAAGCTTCAATAATAATAATGCTGATCACCCTAAAAAGCATGTTTCCCCAAACAGTGTTTTAGTTCATCACAAAGGAAGTTTCAGTATATAATTTGTATATAAAACTTCTGACTTCAAACAAAGCAATTAAGACAGTTTCATAATTTAATTCTTATTTTAAAAATACTTATCATCATAGAAAGTTACTGAATTACAGAACATCCACTAACATCTATTACTAATTTCTCCTAACAACAGCCTAAGCAAAGATATTTTTTAGCAGTGTAAGATGTTAGAAGCTCTTATTGAAAAAATTGTTTGCTCAAGGAAGGAAAAGTAATTTGAAAAACAGTTGCACTTACTTTAGAAAATCCATAGCTGCTTCATCAATACTTATCACACGAAGGGTGAGAATTTGGTTCTGCTTAACACTTTCTGGAAGGTTATGATCAGCAGTTCGGAAAGTTAGGTTAGCTCCCTGTTGGTAAAGCATGCAATGAGATGTGTATTTTGTAAAATACATTCTGCAAGACGTTCAAGAAGTAAGATTAGTGAAAGTCTTGGTATGAAATGATGAAAAGGTGTACCTAAGGTTAGTTAATCTTCTTAACAGAGCCTTTCTAGTACTAAATAAAAACAGCTACAGGCTCCAAGATGACTCATTATCCTCCACATAGAGGTTTGGCTAGTAAGAGGGTCTACTGCTGCCTGGTCTACAGCTGAGATACATGAGACTACAGATGTTGTTCCCTCAGCCAGGCTCTACTTCTCAATTTTTTTTCTCCCTTCAAGTTTATGGGATCCAAAACTCACTGGACCACAGAAGAGAGTCACAGAAGATGTCACATTGATTCCATGAGAGGAAAGTTCTATCAGACTAGAAGAAACCCACCACAGTTATTTTCAATAACCTAAAATAATACTTGAAATAAATAAACAACTAAAAAGTAGCCTTCCCAAAGTTCAAATAATCCCTGCAACATTTAACTATAAAGTTATTATTTAAAATTGCTAGATTTCACTCATATTGAATAAAAACATGTTATTAGTAGCACAGATTTCTATTACCCAGTATAGTCTCTTCTGAGTATTACAAATTCCCCTTCCTTCCAATCTGGGGACAGAGGACACACTTCATGTATTCCGCAAAATTAAAGATGCTTTTTCGTTTGGGAGAAGTGGGAAGGAGAGAGAAAGAAAAGCAGCAAACTAAAAGCAAAGAATGCTAAGAAGAATCAAAAAAAGTAGTAGCTCTAACTGTAATATCCATGCAGGCTTGGGTTCCTAATTAGGAAGGAGACAGAAACACTGTTATTGTGCAAGTGTCTCAACCATTTGGACTTTGAGAGATTTGCGTATCTTAACACCAGCCCAGAAACCCAGTTTGCAGATATGGAGATTCACAGATATGGCATCATTCCACAGTTATCGAACTTGGTAGCAGTACACTTTCTGGATGGCTTTATTCAGAACATATTTCCATCTGCAAGTTGCAAAGATACACAGGACAATAAAAAAAAATCTCTAAAAATAACTTCAACCTCCATACCATGAAGAAAGTAATCAAATTCATCTTGGAAATTCTTATATTGTAGCTACATGTAAACAGTTAGGATTAGGCAGGTGATTAGACAAAACACTAAAAACTAATGTCTCTTTTTACTTTCAATGCTTCATTCAAACATGCTTTTTGCTCTAAACTTAAGATTGGCAACAGAACGTGAAGAACTAGCTGAAAACACTCTGTACTTGAAAAACTGCTCAAGTATTTATGAACCAGGAACACTTAACCCAGTACTGAAGTACAGCAGCACAGAAGATGTAGCATGATTTGTAGTCACCCATCAGATTTGCTGGTAGATGAAGTTTACCATTGTTTCAAAAGGTCTCTCTAAACAGCTGATGGAAAACATTTCCAAGCTTCAGGTTAAAAACAAGTAAACTGCAATTTCCTCATGTAAAAAAAAAATATTTAATCATTGCCTTGTGTCAAAAATGCCAGCAGACCTTGCAAAGATTATTAATTTTTAACAAGTACTTTGGTCTACTTCATCCTCAGGTCTCTTCTTCCCCAATTGTTCATTTTACCTACACTGTCTGCAGTCTTGTGCCCTCTCGTGGGAAAATGACAAACTACAGCTTAATCTGAAGCAAAAAATGGAATCTCTAAAACGTGAGACAACAAAATAATCCAGACTCCTGAAAATCTTTAATTTAAAAATGTTACTGAAGGGAAAAACTTTCAGTGTTCCCTGAAAGCTAGGTCACAATTTTCTATATTAATATCTAAACACTACTTCCAAATGACCAACAAAATAGACTTATGTCCAACGGAAGAACACTTACAATATAAAAGTCACTAACATCATAAGCTTTTCCCTTCTTTTGTCCACGTTGATGTTGATAAACTCCCTTCTGAATGAAAGGCAAGGCATTTGTTCTGTGAAATAATTCAAATATGATATTAAAACAATTACATTTATTTTTAGATAGAGTGGAAGATGTTTTCTAAAACCTTTTTTAAAAAATAACTTATCCTACCTATTTTTTCCAAACTGTCGAAATTCATACACAGTAAGGGATTTGTCACATGCAAAAAAAAACCCAATCAACTCTCGACAAGCATCACGACCATTTCTAGAAGGAAAATTGAAAAGCAACTTTACATTTTTGCATCTGTATAAATATGTCAGCGTAAACATAAATAACTTTCCTGTTTCGGAATATTCACTTTATTTCCAATGTTACATATTGTATCATCTTTTTCAATGAAAGAGGTATCTATTTTCTCTAAACTGCCATGGAATTCAGCTTCTGAATTTGGACACATTTTAATGTCACATTACATTCTCCATAATGTTAAAAACACCTTTCAAGGCTTCATGTTTTAGTATACCAATGTAATTTTCACTCATTAACAAAACAATTACTTACAACAGGACTACCGCATTCATTATGGCAAATGAAGCTATAGTATATGAAACTACGTGGCTGAATTCTCAGCTCTGTCCAAAGTTATGTCGAACAAGCGTACAGCTCACTGCTTCAGAAAAATGCCACTTTCAGAACTGAAGAATAAGTTTATGTCACCACTACTCAATTCAGGACAGTTTAAAAGATGCCCTAAACCTGCAAGTTTAATACATAAGGAGGTACAAACAAGACACAAAGCCATCCTTCCCATCCACCGTGGTTGCCTCTAAGACAAGGCTTAAGTGATTTTTAATCAACTGAGGTGCAATGGCTAAGAGCACTATTTTACACAGTTTCCATATTAACTGTCCTGCACAGAGCTATGGGTGATGGTAACATAACATTACTTACGCATCTTAACACTGTACAATGGGACAGTAAAGCTACTATATGTCAGCCATGCAAAAATCTGTATTATACATGTATGCATGTATATACATCCACACAACACAGACTTTTTTTCTAAACATAGGGAACAGAAATGTTCAATGCAATTAATTAATTCAAGAGGGTAAAGATCATCATTCATAAATTCAGAGAATTGAAAAGCTTCACAAAACTTGTGATTACCTTGATATAATCCTACTATCAAAGCGTAGCTTGTTAGAAAGCATGTTTTCAGTTAGTCCTGATTTGGTCCTTATTCTGTTAAAATAATGCAGCATGTTAATGATACCTATATGCTTGTGGAGAAATGTTACGTAAAAATCAACTGTTTCAAAACAGCAAAAAATGTGAAATACGGTATCCCTGGCAACTGGCTGAGGAGACGATCCCTCACAGTTGAATTAGAAAGCAACTCAGAGTTGTAATGTGGAAGTTCTGTAATTATATAATATGAGAGTACATTCACAGAAGGCATAGATATGAATGGGATATTTTGTTTACATAGTTATATCAAGAATTAAGCCTCTACCACTCACCATACTTCCACCAATCAAAGTGTTTTCTTGCAAAAATACCCAGGTTGGGGCTTCTCTGCCCACCTAGATATTTCTTATTGGCACTATTACTAGTTCCAGAAATTGAGATATGTCCATGTGACGGGTGTAAGAGATTGAGACTGTATTCTTAAAAAAAAAAAAAAGAAAAGAGACAATGAAAAAAAGATTTCATTTGTTGAAAAAGGCTTTAGAGCAGGATGTCAAAATGCACAAAGCAGAAATGTTGGCCTACATTCTGAGAAAGATTAGCAGAACAAAATTGGGACCTGAAGATTCACTTCATTTTATGGATCACAGTGTCTTCTCAGTTTTCCTGAAGCACTTGGGAGTTACTGTTTCAGTGCTCCCAGGCCAAAAATGACACTTATTCAACACCAGTATGGTTAATTATTGCAGCAGAAATCAAAACATGAAAGAAAAGTGTGATTCTATTGTGAAGATCTACATTAGCATTTACAGCTGCATATTTATGCAATTTTATGCACCTCAGGATACGAATCTCTAAAAGGATATGACAAGATTTCAAGCATTCCACAGCTCAGAAAAGGCTGGCAAAACCCTGTGATGAACAATATCAATATAAACTTAAGAATGTTCTCCTAGGTTTTATAAATTCCATGAATTTATACATAAGAGACTCCACATCAAAAGGTCCCACTAGGCAATTATAAGCATGGGGAGGCTACAAAAAAGCCCTCATATGAAGCTGGTGAATCCAAGCCAAAAATAAAACATCTGGAAAGGCAACTGCATTTCGCAGAGCCCAAAATAATAAAAAATACAGAAGAAAATGTATTTCTGAAAAAAAATGACCACTAGAGAAGACTTACTTTGTTTCATGCAGCGTTCTTTTTCTAAAACGTGTTGGTGCTGTCCCAAATCCCAGAAGTCCATGAGCCTCCTTGTAAACATCAGCATGTGTGGATTGCTCTGGGTCACTTATAACAGCTCTGACCGGAAAGAGCAGAGAGAAGCCCTCTCATTACCAGTAAGTTTGAATTTCAGTTCTTACGTATTCTTACTCAGGAAAGAGAACAGCCAAGAATAACACAGCAATAAAAGCTTGGGGTTATCCATTAAGCTTACATAAAATTGTGGGCTTGTTTTTTTGTTTGTTTTTACAAATTCTGAAGTCTATTACTCAAAATCAAATATATGCAATAATATTCTGGTAGTATACTACTATGAAGTAACTTTACATGTATATGCATATTATTTAAAGTACATTTTATATATGTATATACAAAATAAAACTTAGGATTACAAAGATTTGGGGTTTTTTCCCATTTCTACGATTTCTGTAAAAATTCCATCACCGATTTTCTTTATTCATGGCTCCCTCCAAAATCAGTGAGGACAGTTACTAGTACTGGCCAGTGACATCATCCAACAAACACATTCTCACTTCCTCTCCCAAAGCACTGACTACACAGCCCATAGGATCTCAAAGTTCCATCAAGCAGACAAGAAATAGATTAAATATTTTCTACACATTTTTATATTCTCTGTACCAGTTTAACAAGTAAAGGAGAGACCCTTTAAAAATACACTAGGATTTTTTTACGTTATTGAAATGGTTCATAATGAGAAGGAAAAACCAATTTTGCATGGCTAATACAGTTTTATAAAACTTGCTCTCTGATCTATGCAGATCCATCTTTGCACACATCAGTTACACTGATTTAACTGCAAGATTGGCTCTACTAAGAAAAAAAATTAAAAAAATCAAGACACCTTTGTGTTTCCTTTAATAGATTTTTTTCATACAACAGTTTTGAACTAATCTTCCCCGATTAACATCCTGCTCTCTGATAACAATTTGTTTGGCAGTACTGGCACGGTTATATTTAGAACATAAACAGAGAGATTTTTTAACTTAAAAGTTCATCCTGATGCAGCTGCAGCACTACTGAATATTGTTTTGACATTGTCAACAGAAGAGTTCAGAGCAGAAGGAATACATGGCAAAAATAAGGGAAAGCAGCTAAAGGAGGTTAAGGACAGAACGAACATCTGTGATCCAAAATGCACAAACGTGTATGCTTAATCCAACATCAGTAGGATTGAAACACTTTAATACAACCATCACATTTTTCAGATAATTTCTGTAATCATCTGCTTTACTTACATCTTTGTAGAGATATGACATGGGACAAGCATTTCTTTGCAAATTGGGGATTTTTGCAATGAACACTTCCATATTTTTAATACTCCTACAATGACACTTGGAATTTAACACTGTGTTTCACGACAAACTTGTTTCCCTCATGCAACTTTCTTGATATCTCAGTTTTAAAGTAGTGTAAAAGTATTAACAGACTTTTAAATAACATAGGTCATTTAAACTGCAGTCAGAACATAAACTAAGAAAAAATAAAATCATGACATGTAACATTTCAACCTCAAAGTCTTAAGATGTGCTGGGATGTACTATCAGCACAGATGACTACAGAGACTGTCAACTAAGCACAGAATGCAACATACAGTAGACCTACCCACAGATAATTTTTAGCAAGTGTAAGGTAACATAAAATTATATGAACCCAGCTTGCACCATCCTATACAACCATAGCCACAGAATCTGGATAAAGCCCTGAATTATTGCTTAAAAGGGAGAACAAGTTTCTGGGAAAAAAACTAAGGAAAGATGCCTTTACTATACTCATCTTTACCTGTAAGTTACTTTCCTCCCTTAACATATAAAGGGATCTTTCTACATAGAAGCAAAGCTTTCTTCGAGCTAAAGAGTTATAGCAATTAAGTAAAGAGAGCCTTCCTGTACAATCTTGATCAACTTGATACACTATTGTGCCTTTTCTCCTACCTACCCAACATTCGTATAATACTCCTTTACTCCTGAGGGCTGTTGTGTCAATATTAATAAAGGAATATTAATAAAGCTAAGATTCTTAGAAAAGATGATGAATACTGAAGAAGTGTAATTTGTAACAGCAGGCATTCATCTATTTTGTGGAGGTGCAAGGTCATTTCTGTGAACCACTGCTATTGTAAAGCCCTTAAATTAGGTTCAAGTATAAAATTAAAAATTATTCTCAGAAAAAAAATGAGCTTACACATGGCACTTTGACCTTTTAAGTTAAATAAAAAGACTTTTTATTTAAATATTTTTTGCAAATAGTAACACTACACAAGACTGCAAAAGACTTGGAATGAGATGATCGAAATATCTCCTAGGCAAGAAAAGCCACACACTCACAGATCTAAATTCATCTGCTGGGTAGACTGGAATTTTACGTTATAAACTCACTTACCTAGATAACTGATCCACCATCACTTGTTCTACTACAGCCTGTTTTCTCCTCTCTGCAGCAACATCCTCCTGCAACGAAAAACTCACTGAGAGCAAATTAAATATATAAAACTAGACACTTTAAATAATAACTCACCCATTAAGATGGCATTCAGAGGTCACAATCTTATCTATGTCACAATTAATTTATTCAAAAAGATTTTTAAAAAGGAGTTCTATTTGCATAACAGATAGACAAATAATATTCTCTGCTACACACACTCAAATTGCCTATGCATATTAGTTGTCAATAAATGTGAGAATTCTAGTATTTCTCTTGACAGACAGCATCCTTAACTCTCTATTATTTCCAATAAATTCTGTAAGCACAGTAGAGCCTGAGGAAACTCGCACTATTCCAGGTTTCATGGTTGACAGAGATTCCAACTCAGAGCATGAAACTTTACCTCCAGCAATTTTTAGTCAAAAAAAATCTTTTAAGACTTAGTCTCAGCACACATTTTTTATTTGTCGCATGTCACAATAATTTTCTGCTGAGACAGGCCAATCTGAAAAACCTTTCAGGAAAGATCATCCTAAGGGGGAAGGGAATTTAACATGATCTTATTATTATTTTTATTAGAGTAACACTGAGCCATAACCTTGTGCCATTCACTGTAAAGTGCTCAGGCACTGATCATCAATTGTTTCACAGGAGGAGAAATCAAAGCACAAGAGGATGTCCCAGGACAGCATGGAGGCCACTGGCAACAAGAAGGCCCTTGCATCTCTCTTCTTTTTATCTTCTAGATTTCTGAACTTCTTCACTGCATTTAAATTTGCCTCTTTAAAAAACAAAAATACTTTTTATACATGAGAAAACAGAGATTATTGTTACTGAGGGGTTTATGAAATGGTTTTGAAAGCTTTGTAGGTATTCTGAAACTGAAGAATTAAGATATTTTTCTGATTGGTTATTTTTTCCACACAATTTTTCCATCCAAGCCAAATTCTAGATAGATCAAGCTTTCCCATAACTGAAGAAGAATCTAAAGTTTGTTCCCAGACACCAGGTAACTGTAAGGGAAAATGCCTAATTCCACAGAGATCTTATGGGTATAATTCACAACCTTCAAGTAAATACTGCTTGGTATTACGCATTAAAAAAACCTAAACAAACAAACAAAAAGCAAAAAAACCCCAAATAAATAATGTAACACCAGACCAGCTGATGTTTATTCTGAGCTTATTTTAAGCCTCAAAATATTTCTAAATTATAGGAGATAGCAGGCCTTTTAGTTTACTTCCATATTTCATTTTTGCACCTATCAAAACTACAGGTGCTTTATTCCGAGTTACTGAATCTTTGCCCATCAACTGTCACAATAGATATATTAAAAAGCATTATGTAAAGGAGGACACAGTGATAATACATAGCAGTGGTTGTTGCTTGAGACAACATATATCCAATAGAATTAATGTGTATGCAGTTACTTAATTTTTTTTTCCATTATTCCTATCAGAAGCTTGAACCTGACAGAACTTAAGAGATGCTCTTAGAAAGAGACAGCCAGCCTATGCAGGCAACTCTGCTAATCAATAACAAAAGGGCTTCTAAAGGTCCCCATGACACCTTGCTCAGACACCTGCTGGCTTCCTTTTGAAGCATGCCAGCTGCACTGCACTTGTTATTTTGTGTTATTTTGCACTGCTCCCTTTTTCAGCTTATTTGATTTAGCATTAAGTCTTTACTTTAATGACATTTCAAAACTTTTTTCCGTTATCTTCACCCTATAGTATAGATTTTTAAAATTTATTCTAAAAATAACCAACAGGAGGTTCTTCAAGTTCTTCATAAAAGTATTTTCTGAAAAGATTTTCCTATCATGAAAATGAACAGTGTCTGCAGTAGTGCAGCATCCGCATTAACTTTGAGAAGATTAGAAATCAAATAAATGTTTGCAATGATGCAAAATTCGGTCCGCAGTGATGAGCAAACAAGATAAATCAAAATTATTATCTAGTTTTACAATCTCATAAGATTTCTCATGGCTTGATATTCCATGATGAAGTCAGAATGCTAATTCTGTTCAACAATCAACCTTCAGTAATCAGTTATGAAAGCCATCACTCTGCATATGCAAGTACCAAATCATGGAATAACAAATCTCAAGGTTCTTCATCATTGTAAATAATCCTAAATTCAAGGCTTAGCCTTAGATGGGCAAGACTCCTATTGAAAAGAGTAAAAATCCTGTCTATGTAGGAAACTAAAGAAACATATTGAGTATGTCCATGTAAGAAAAGTTTTAATTCCCCTCTTGACATGCTAGTGAGGCCATACTTGTTTCCAATTTCTGAGGGTCCCTCCTTCCCAAGCTAAATAGACATGAGAGGAACCTGGAAAGGATCTGGCAGAGGATCAGAGTCAAAGCAAATGAAAGGAGAGGCTAAGGGAGCTTGGGTTTTGCTGCTTGCAAAAGCAGCAGCTATGACGCATTCTAAAAATCTCCTATAACCGAAAGGAAGTTACAAAGAAGACAGAACCAAAATTTTTTTTGACAGTGGTCAACAGTATAACAGGAGGTGAAGGTTACACAGTGAGCCTTGGAAGGCTTGGTATGGATAACAGGAAGGACTTCTTCACAAGGAGAGTAGTGTATCACAGAAAGCTGTTGCCTAGAGATGCTCCATCCTTGGAGCTTGAAGACACATCCAAAGTCATGGCTGACCCGATCTAATACCAGCAGCAGAGCACACACAGCTTACAAAGCCAGTTCTCATCACATACTCCATTTCAGGAGTTAGGGGGGAAAAACAGCCTGTTTCTAGAGTAAACAAGTCAGAATAAGAGCTGATGGAATCATGGATCACAGGATTCATGGCTCATGGAATACAGAGTCAGATACAAACTACAGACCAGAAAAAAATGTAACACTACACTCAAGTTCACTCAACCCACTCAGTTAATCTTAGTTGTATGTAGAAACTTGTATTTATTATTCATCATTTTCATTCTAATTTATAAACATTACTGCATAAAATACAAGCACTGCAGGTAAGATTTTTAAAAATGCTCACTGGATTGCTCAGTTCAGCTCCCACTGAAACAAATGTTTAATCTCCCATGATTTCAATGGCTGCAATTACATACCAGGACCAAATCACGGAAGGCCTAACTTCTGTAGAACATCTGGCAAGTCATCCTACAAGTCCATATGGTTAACAGCATAATATCAGCCAAAATACTTACAGCTTCTGATTTCCTTATACCATGCCGCATATTATAGGGCTTGCTTGTGTAGCTTTGTTGCAGGAGAGCTTTCTCATCAAGAGCTGCAAGATGATCATTACGTCCATCCTCAAGCTGTGTACCCTACACAAAAATACCTTCTTTTCAGAAATTAAGTTTAATTAATTGTAAAAAGAAAAAAAAAACAAAAAACCACCTACACAACACATTTTCCTCAACAATTTAAAAGTACTTTTTCTTCTTTCTTCTTTATTTTTCAAGTGACTACTTATTTAACTTCATGCTAATTAGAAAAAGTAAAGTATTTTTTAAGCCTAGCTTTCTATGGAAACTGAACTTACAAATCTTGCTCTCCAGTCTTTCCTTATCTCTTTTGAATACTTACCAGCTTTCAAACATATTGAAATAAAAAAATCCTCAAAAATACTCCATTCCTACCAGCTTCGTGAAAAATCAGCAGCAGGTCAGAGAAGGAAGACTGTTTGTAGCTCTCTGAAGAAGACAAGAGTTCATCCTTTTTCTGTTCTGCTCAAAAACAGCCAAGAGAAAGCGGCAGATTTGCCATTATGGATATATACTTCTTCAAAAGCTCACCATTGCAGAGATGCTTCTTTTTGACCAGCACAAAAGTTAAATACAGTCTAGACAGAGAAAAACCAAAGCATACTGCTGAACTGGATCTAACAGACTTGTAAATTACTCTGAGAGTATTACAGAAATACCTCCTACATGAAGGACACAAAGAAAACCGACCAAGGAGACTGTGTTTACAGAAGTCAGGAAGGGGGGAATATGGGAGACGAATCAAGAGTAGGTTTAAACTCCCTAGGAGCAGCTTCTTTCAGAGAAGAAAAGTTATTACAAATTCCACTAATCAGATAAAATAATAAGTATCATGAAATCTAAAGAGGTTTTGATTTATTAATTTAATCAGGTAGTGATGGTATCTAACACAGAAAATATATTAAAATCTGTCACAAGAACTGATACACATGGCTTCTACTGCTTAGCAAGTACCTTTCTGGAATCCAAAATCACCAGAATAAGCAAGTCCTGCTTTTTCTCTCCCAGTATACACTTGCCACCTATTTCTGCAATTTCAGATTAACATGGCTGCTCCTGCAAATACCCTTTTGATGGGCTCGCAGTACAGAAGTCACTCCTTGGAAAACAGATGACATGACAGTGTCAGACTGGTAAATAATAGTGGAACCATTTAAAAGTAAACAAACAAAAAAATAATACTACAATGAATCCCCAGAACGGACAATCTAACCTGCCACCAAACAAAAAACTAAATAAAATAACAGAATTGTTTTTCTCAAACAACTATTTTACTCACAAAAAATCTTTCACTTATAGGTACTTGCAGGTTCTCCAAGTTTTATCCAAACACTAGAGTTGTGACTATAAGAGGAGAAAGCCCCTTTAAATCAACAATGTGTAAAACAATAGCAACAATATGTGAAACATAATCTTTGTCTTATGTAAGACCTTTCCTTTTCATTGCACTGAACATTAAGCAAGTAAAATGAGTAAACTCATTGTTATTCATCACAAACCTTTTATCTGAAAAGCAATGAGCACAGTATGTTCCCTCAACATCTGCATACTTAACTTTTCATTAAGATTCTTAAGCGGTCAACTACCCCCAGCATAGTCTGGCATTCAATCAGTCCTCACAGCTGTTGCTAACTTTCTTTGCCTGTTTCCTTACACCTACAAATATATCTTGCTCTGTGTAACCACCCTTATCCATTATCTCTTCCAGAACAGGAGGAAAGGTTTGGATTTTTTTACTCCTTTGTTTTCCAGTTTCTCTCTACTGATCTTCCCTTGTTCTCATCTTAGTTTTAATTTTAAAACACAAAAAAATGGCAGAATTAATACAACTTGCAGTCCAACTGTACTGGATCTTATACAATGTCAAAACAAAAAGTACAGATAATTTTTTCCATTATTTTAACCCTATATTCCTTCCCATTTTTAGTGTTAATTGTTCTCGAAGGTACAGATTACGTCTTTCCGTTCTCCTTTTTAAAGTCCTATATAATTAAAGTCATAATTAAATAGAATAATAATTAATAAAAATAAAAAAGCTTGAATGTATTTCTGTACTTGGAAATAACATTTTGCTGTGTCTCATCTTCCTAGGCTGCAAACTCTTCCCTATCAATCATGCTAATCTTCACGCTTAGAGTAGACGTGAACTATGAGGGCAAATAGTACATTTCTTACCAGAGAATACAAGCATACTTAGATTCTCAGAGCACCTCAGTTTCTTGCTCTCGAACAACTAAAACAAGCTGGCTATATTTTATTTCCTACTCAACATTTGATGCTGAAATTACACATTTTAATTTCTTTACAGTAAAAACATGGAAGAAATGAATGCACACACGTGTAAACTTCTGCAAACACTGTAATGAAATACCAACACACGTTTCCTATTTAAAAATGCAATTACTTCTTCGCCAGCTACCTTTATTGAAGCTTCTGAACATTGGAGGTGGTCTTTCTTCTTTTCTGCAATTCTCTGAGAATACTGCTTATATTCCTCCTTCATATCTGTTTCATACTGACGATACTTCAGTTTGTATCTGTCTGTTGGGGATGGCAGATTTTCTGGTATTGTCTTCTGCTCCAAAACAGAATGCTGAAGCAAAGAGTAATCAATATAAAAGCCTTTGGTTCATTTACTGAATGAGAACAGCATTATCATAATTCCCATTCAGTGCAACTTCTGAAACTTCTTGACACTATGCTTCACATTAAGAAAAAAATAAAAACATGACTGCATATTCAGGCTTAATTTTCACTTCGTATTCTGCCATTTTTATCTAAAAAGTATACAGCCAAATTGTTTTATGTGACTTTTAAAGAGAGAAGCTAAGATTCAGTGGCTCTGTCCTATAAAATAGTGTTACAGATCACTAAAATGGGAATTCTGACATTTGATTTTTAATGGCCGAAACTGCGCTGATGTTTTTCAATCAGAAGTTCTAGCATTCTTGGATGGCAGACGAGTATTAGTGCTGGGACTTCCACCTCTAAAACAACATCAGCTGAAAAGGCTAAGTACCTTCCTCACTTTATGTCCATTTCAGTGCTCTACACAATGAAGGCTGCATTAGCAGAAAAGAAACAGCAGCAATGACAGAAGACCAAGACTCTATTCTTCCTCATCTCCCTGAATAACTAACACCTCCAATCTTTTAGCAATATTCTTTCAACGCTAACAAAACTAAGATGGCCTTATCTAGCATCTCTACTTGACATATCTCACCTTGCAACAGCAGTGTTAACAGTCCTGTTCTAGAAAACCACTTCTCAAAACCCCAAAAGATTTATGTTCTTGAAAGGGAAGCTTTATCTTTCAAAAGATGATCCACATCCCTTCACTGGTTAATTCCTGAATGATAAGACTATATTTAAATTATTCTTCCAAAAGTGACCTATTTTGGGAAGATTTACTTACACAGTCTGTTACTGAAGAAGCTGGAATATGTCTTGTTAAAAGAATGCTCAGTCAGGGCCCCAGAAGCAAGCAATGCAGAAATAAAGGCCGCTCAGAGGAATACATTAAAATATTTTAAAACTGCTTGAAAATCTTCTCCACAAAAGAGGAGAAGAAAAAAAGTCAGGCAAAACCAGAGAGAGAGAGCAGAAGAAAGTAAGTGAACAGAAGATACATTCCTGCACATTCAGCACTTTAGTAAGGAAGCAACAAGAGACAAAGGAAAGCAGAGAAGAAAAGAAGAAAAAGCCTGAGAAACAGAGAAAGCCATACGAACCTTCCACTAGCCTTCCTGCAGCTAGACAGAACTGTATTTAAGAACTCTATATTTTTTATAAAAGGGTAAAACAAGCAGTGAAATCATACGCATCCAGACCTAGAAAGAGTACAGCAACTCAAGCATGCCTGCACTGCACACTTACAATGCAGCACAAAGGAAAATAACATAGTTATATGTTTACAATTACATAATAGCTACGTTGAGCACACAGATATTCCGAGTAGTAGCACATTCTTAGTCCATTATTTTAACAAAGCACTTAACCATTTCAGTTTTTATTTAAATGCATTTTTTTTCAAGTTGAGAAACCATTTGGTTATATAGGGAAACAAAAAAATTTATGATCTTGGCAGATTCATCTTGAGATCCAGACAATTTGGAGTCCTGCCATGGAAGCTGCTATATTATTTGTTTCAAGGGGCATAGGTTACGTACAAATTAATAACTGTTTTTTCCTCTAGCTACGCTTCTGTTTTAAACACGCTCATTAGAGTGTTTCTTAGGTTTACATAAGTTAAATATTTTTGTAATAATGGATTTTAAAATAGCATATTTTCCAATTTTTCCAAAAAGAGATAACACTGATAAGTTAGAATATTTCCTGCATCCTAACTAAATAAAAACGTATTAGTAGTAGTAAGACTTTTATCATTATTATGTACAGTGCATGATTACTACAGAACATTTTTGAAATATTACAGTCTTCTCAGTAAAAAAGTACTTTGCCAAAAATATTTTGAACCAATAGCACTTGGAGATATGAGTTTAACCGAAAGAAAAAAGAGAACTTGTACAATAAAGCTAAGTATGCTTTTCTAAATTACTGCTAAAGGGGCATATTGTAAAGACAGTTGTAGCGACAGACTGACCTGTTGAGCCCGATGATGCTGTGCATATGGCATTTGTAATGATGTTCTCCAATCTGAAGGTGAATCCAGAGAGCATGTATGAGGATAACTCCCACTATATGGGATGTAAGAGTCCCCATCCTAAAATGACAAAAAAAAAAAGATAAGCAATCGCAATTGTTTTCTTTTCAGAGTGATATTTTTATAAACTCCTGCAACACATGAATTCTAAAAACTATTCAAGACATAATTAATTTATAATTACCTCTTCATCAGAATCTCCCAGCCTTCCTAGATCTAGGCATGGTACCCTGCAGGAAGTTAAAACAGTATTAATAGTAGTATGTTCTCTTATTTTTCAATTACAGTAAAAGCAAACTGCCTATTAGTTATTATCATTGGCTCCTTCACAAAAATTTCCCTGCTATGAACAGTTTCACTACAACTGGAAATGGCCTATTTGGCAAATCCCTGTTAGCCCCTCTGGCTTCAGCTCAGGAACCGGCCACTGAGCTTTACCTCTTCCCCAGCTGCAGGGTACCCCAGACCCTGCAAGGCCCTTCACTCCTAGCAAGCCCATCCTGGCTTCTCGTCACTCCCCAACAGGAGCTCCTGCAAAAAGATCATAAATCAGGGATTCCTTATTCCTGTCTTCTACAGCAGGCCTGTGTCAACACTCCTCTGTAATCAGTCACAAGAGGGACAACAAGGAAGCAATAGCTCCTTGGGATGCAAAACTTCCAAATCTTTTGGAAAAGATTAACACAGTGGAAGTCATCTATACTTCAGAGAAAAAAATCTCCAATTCATCAAAGCATCTCTCTGCTTTCTGCCTTTACTCCAGGAATACTCCAGAGCACCACGAATACCTATTTTTTATATTTTAGCACCAACATTTCCAAACAACCCTCTTATAACACGATTACTTCTTGGAATAAGAGCGCTCCCTAATTTCCAGTCCTTTTATATTAGAGAATGACCAACAGTACCCAGAAGCTGAAGTTCTTTGACTTCAATATGAATAATCCAAGGCCATGGTCACATATACTTATAAAATAATCTAGAGATACATAGGCTGTAAGGCATTTCAGTAAACAAAAAAAACCCTAAACTATCAAACATGATCCTTGGAAAAGCAGACTTTGCTTATCTGCCGAACTCAATATAAGGTTTTAAAATTTTATAAGGCACTGTACAAAATTTTCCTTTGCTTGTAAAAATCCTTCAAAACACTTTCTCTGAAGTTTCTACTCTAATACCTGCAAGGAAGGCTAAGAGTTAAAAAAAAAATAGTTTCAAGAAAGACTATGTATAAATAAGAAAGCCCTAAGTACAACTCGACCGTTAAGCAAAATCAAATGTAAATCGACTTAATTCCAATGTAAATAATGCATCAAAAATTCTACTCTAAGTATAAATCATAGAAAACAAACCTATGATGATAAATTTTATGGAACACCAAGCTGCATAACAATACAAATGCAAATGTATTGTGTTAATAATGCACAATTACAGAAACTGATCAGAAATAGAAGCAGACTTACTCTGGTGGGCGAGGGCCATGAGTAGCACTTGTATCTGGTCTCCAGCCCTAAAATAACAACACATTATTACATACCTACAGGGATCACAATTAAAATACACAGTTCTCTCTTTCAATTTCCCCTTGAATATTTAAAATCAATGCATCAAAGTATCTGTCTGATATATTTGACAGAGACACTAGTAACAAAAAGATAAAACAAAAACTTTTCATTGAAAGTTTGTTCTTACAGATCATCAGACTAAAAGACTGAGCATTCACTATGACAGAAAGATTTCCAGCCATTAAGAATCCAGAATCCAGATAGTATGCAAGTCAGCTATTAGCAATGCATTAAAAATGACCCCATTTTCCCGAGACTCTTTTACAATCACTCCTTACAGTGGTTTAGGTCACATGGTCCTTGTTTGTTGGGAACCAACCCTTCAGCCAACCATTAAACCAAAACCACAATACCAACAGCCAGCTGGTTCACATGGCGCTAGCTCAGAGCCCAAAGAAGCCCTGATATTTGGTGTAAATGTATCATCTCAGCTTTAGTATTGCAGCACATGAGGGTGACCAGGCAGCTTGTGCACTGACACTATTTTGTATGGCTGTATATCACACAGATCTCTAAAACCAGCTGAGCGAGAACAGAGGAAGAAAAAAAGACTTGAGCCAAAGCTCCATCTACCCCACTATGGCTTTCTGAAAACAGCCAACAGCAAATGCCAAGGGAAGACAGTTTGACTGGGGCAAGCACCTCATAACAATTCTCCCAACTGGCCTCCTAGTCTGGAGAAAAATGTGCTCCAAGGATGTTCTGAACCACAGCCAGCATCTTTGTTTTCACAGTCCTTGGTGGAGAGATCTCAACATCACAGCCTGGGCTGAGCAGACATCCTATTTCCAGCAGTGCCCAAACACCTTTCACTATTTGAGAACAGTCACAGAACTGCAACTCCTTTCCTGGCACACACCCTTGAAGAGTGCTCCTGAAAAAAGTTCACAGTTCAGCAATACTACCCTCTAGTGCCTTCAAAAAAGGGTATTCAGGTTTAAAAAAAAAAGAAAGAAAAAAAAGGCGAACATAATAAATACCACCACCTTGTGGTCACATATGTAAAAAAAGTTAAGAGCTCTAACACAATTTAGTCTTACTCTTAAGGCTAAATGCCATGCATTAAATCACAAGTATACAAATTTTCTGAACCATTGCAACTATGATATGCTAAAGAACATGCCACATTCTAGATGTTAAAGTCTTAATGTAATTCTTTTTCTAGAAGTCATCAAACCATGAAGAATGCAGACAAAAGCCATCCTGAAGACTGTCCACGTTTATGGGATGAAGCACATAGTTTCAACCTAATCTTAATCTATGATCTGTTTTTCAAGCCACCAAGAATCATATGGACTAGGAAGTCTAAATTTGTAAACTGAGGGGCACCCAAAAAAAAAAAAAAAGAAAAAAAGGGATGAGGGATTAGAGAAAAATTGACATTTCTTTTACAACCTACACTAAATGCCCCAAATGTTCTTGTTACATACAGGTATTTCATTCTCAAAAGACTGGTTAAAAGGTCTATAACATGGATGTGGTATCATTTATAAAAGGTCCTTTTTCACTCCAAATCAAACAAAAAGCAAAACAGTAACTCGACAGTCAAACTCTAAGAATTCCTAATGAGGTCATCCAACAAATAAGGAAGTTAAATGGGTGCTTGGGGGCTAAGGGAAGATTGCCAGGTAACTTCACTTCATGGGCATAAAATACACAGTACCTGTGCTGAAAAATCAACTGTTATTAACAGTATTGACATTTACCTCAGCTATAATAAAAAAAAACCCGCCCTCAGAATCCAAGATTGTATTTGTACTTATCAGGCTTTGAAAAGTTAGCCCAAAAGTTTCTGCTGTGATCTGGTGAGGATTGCACACCTACCTTATCTCAAAATGTAGACTAACAGAAATACTTGGAAAGAAAAATCTCCCTTCATATTGAAAGGAGAGCACTGAGATTCATTTTACACATCGTTCTGAAATAATGCTTTTTGAAATTATGTTTTGGGGTTGCTTTACTTTATTACTGTCTTGCAAAACAAAAACACAGACACGTCTGTTAGCAGTTTCACTAATAGCCTGAGCCAGCACACAGTACAGGTTCAAGCCTCTGCTGCTCTTAATTGCAAGCACTAGTTTGTTACCAAGTTCTCCACGTCCCAGCTAAGTACCCAGAATATCAGTTATTTTAGGACAGCTGTTTTTATTGGAAATTCTCACCTTCATTTGAGGACCTGTCATGCTAAACTATCACTTTCTGACAAAAAATATCTTTAAAAGTTTCCTTCTCTGCACGACTCATTATAACCTCAAACTAAAAACCTTCAGAAGTATGATTAAAATATTTGTTAAAATGTCAAAGGAAGGAAGGAGAACAACAAGCCTTCTATTAACGTACCTGACGTTTCCTCCCCCTTGATGACAGCTGAGCCTGCCTTTGAGGGGATGCAGCAACTCCTTTAACTTCCAAATCCATGCTGATTCAGTGATAACCTTCAGAATAAACTGAAAACCAGAAAAGCAAATATATAAAAACCCCATTATTTTCTCAAAGTACTCCTGAAAAAAAAAATCCAACATTATAGCATGAGAAAGAATGTGTCTATCACCAATAATTTGGGTACTGTCTTCAGCAAGCTATGAAATGTTGCCGGGTTCCCTTTTTCACCGCTTCTTAATTTGTCCTTCCTTACTAATGCTTAACCAGATATCTGTTCAAATTTACATCTTTGCCTCAAGTTTAACTCCTTCTTTTCCTTACAATTCTCTCGATAATTTCTCATACCAGCATTACAGATTAGCTACCCTTTGACAACATCAAACCTTTTCTTACTCTTAGAGCTGCTGCCTGGCTTTCAATTGCACCATGCCCTGGGACTCAGTATTTTCAGGAAGATGTGAAGGCCCTCCTGGCACACAGGCATCACCTCTGAGCTCCAGAGTGATGTTTTATCAGTACATTATCTCCCACTCTGCTGGTTTCTCCTTCCACCCAGCCAGTTTCAAATCAAAATCCTGTAACTTCGTTCCCAGAAAGCAGATGCTCCGTTTCCAAATCACCATACACAAAAACTGACCCCGTTTCTACCTACCAAACAGGTTTTAACTCCCAACTAGTCTCTCCTTTAACCAAGCAGAAGCACAGCTGCAGGGCCTGTTTGGAGACGGCCACCCAACTGCTCGCCGCTAGCCAGCCACCAGCCATACCTCCTTCCTCAGGGCATGCACAACGAAGAGTCTCTGTCCTCACACAAGCTCAGGTCTTTGTATCGTGTAACTGAAGGCACAGGGGGAAAAGAGCATTGTTGGTTAACACGCTGAAGTAACTTAATCACGAAAATGATGCAGTATGAGGAAAAATAAACGCTAAGTGCCACGGAAACACTATTTCCCTGGGGACGCATTGGGACAGGTCCCACGGCCCGGGACAGACCTGGCCGGGTCCCGGAGAGGTCTCACCCGCGCGGTCTCACAGACAGGCTCAGCCAGGCCGCGCACGGCTGAGGTAATGGGCCCGCGCCTCCATGGTAACCGCGCCCCACCGCGGCCCGCGTTGTCACGACCTGCCCGCCGCAGGCGCCCCGCGGCACCGCCCCTACCCCCGCCCGCCCCAAGGCCTTGCCGGGTACTGCAGCGCGGAGAGGCCAATCTGAGCCGCGTTTCGCACGGAAGTTTCGCAAGATACAACCCCAGCTAAGCGGGGGAGGCGAATTCCCCGTTCCCTTCCGAGGAAACACCCGATTCGGGCACGGCTGCGTGCCTGGGCACTTCTCCCTGCGCTCGCCGCTAGCCTGCCAGCCAAAGACTTCAAGCATCAGCAGCATCCAAAGAACGGGAAAGCCACCCGCACTGACGACTCAAACACGGCCCAACGCAGGGAAGGTGGTCACAGGGGCAGCGCCTGGTAGGCAGCAGCGCTGGCCTACACCCACACCAGCTCTCACAGGAGAGCAAGCAATGGAGTCGCAAGCAGCAAACACCACGGCAGCGTGGCATGCTTGGTTCCCGTCCCTTCATTCCCTGTGATCAAAGGCTTTGAAATTAGTTTCAGCTATTCACTTTAATTAGCCTTGTTACTGAGCACAGAGGATAGCCCCTAAGCAAGTACGATTTTTTTAAACACTTCCAGTTGTCCTGAATGACCAGGCCTACACTAGTTATTTTTAAAATGCAAATTGTGTCCAAGTACCAGTTCCAATTCATCCATTCTGTCTTAGGGAAAAATCTGTTGCCTCTTGAGAAAGCCTGGCTTTTCTATCCATTTTCCAAAGTAAGGCAAAACCTCACATATTACAAAACTACTAATACACTGACACTAAGGATGTATTTCTGGATGCTACTTCCAAGCCTGTGATCTGTTTTTAGAACCAAAGATGTACCACGTTTCTACACAAGAGTGAACAAATCCTTCCACTTCAGTGAGAGATACAGTAATATCGCTTTAACTACAGTACATTTCCTCCATAAAAACAAATCCACATATTATTTTCCTGTAAGAAAAAAAGATGGCAGAAGAGTTCAGGCATTATAACTGCCCTACTTAAAAGCCATGCAATAATAAAATGGAAAATTTAACAGCATTGCACTGACAGACCTACCTCTAATGTAATTTCTGTCATTAAAGGGCGGCAGTTTCATAGACATGTACATTAAGTGAACAAAAAATAGTAGAAAATAAAGGTATTGACAAAAACTATTCTGGCAAAGGTAAAAAATGTTTAACACTGACCTAAAAAAGTCACAATGAAGTTGGCATAATGTACTGAAAAAAGAAACTCCCAAGCCCCACAGTTGTTGAATGATAAATAGCAATAGATCTGTTAATACTGATAAAAGTGTACTACAGTGAATCAAAAAGCCAGATTCCATTGTGTTAAAATATGAAATGGAAATATAGTACTAATGGGTATCAATCAACTACTAGGCAGCTGCTGAGTTTAACCAGTGAAAAGTGGAGAAGAAATTGAGTGATCCAATGCAATGCATGAAGGTTTAAACTGACATACAGATATTTACATAATTTCTGAGGAGATGGCAAACTCAGACAGAATTATCTTAGAATAGTTTCTGTGGCTAAATTTCTCTCTCTCTAAATAAACCTACGAAAGCATCTTTAAGACATAACTCATGCTGCTTTTCATTCCGCCCCTAGAGAAAAGTTTTCCACAAAGAGCTAAATTCATCAGTGCATGCTCTTTAATGAACTCAAGAAAATCACAGTTCAAGTGGCACCATGCTTACTAGTTACAAAACATTTACGAAACATCTATTCTTTAGTTTTAATTACTAGATATGCCAATATTTTAGTGAAGCATCAGATATAGTTACAGTGCATTATATACAGAGTACAGAAATATTTTTGTAGGAGAAAAATAAATAGAAAAAAATATGTAAACATACTAAGTGAAATTCTGCTGCCACTGAAGTCAGTTACAGAACCATCACAGATAGGAGCACAGGCAGTATTTCACCCCTCTTTTTAAAGCATATAGCAGTGCACACAACTTCATTCAAAACAGTTTAAAGTGCATACAACATTATTTTTAAAATTTCATAAGCTCTTGGAAGTTTTACGTATGCAGATTGCATTCATATCTATTGCGTCTCCTCAATCCCATCTCTTCTGGTTCTGTGGCATCCTTGTTTATAATTTCTTGGTCCTCTACCACATCTGGCTCCAACTGATGAACTTCACATTCATCATATAATTCATGTTCTTCAATTTTGTAATCATTAGCAACATCCTCGAGCAAATCTTCATTTCTGTCATCTTCTCTGTCATCCATTTCTTTCTCTTGAGAATGTTCAGAAAATGACTGAATGAGATCTTCAAGTTTCTCATTACAAATGTGGTTGACATCTAGTAATTCACACACACACACACACACACACACAAAAAAAGAAAGTTTAAATTAACAGAAAGGCTCCAAATTTCAAGGTCACTTTAGACGTAAAAGATATGTTTTTATTTGTTTTATCTCTTTTATTAAGATTCAACCAATTCAAAAATTCTCAAAATTTATAGTGAACCATTCTTAATGTTTAGGATTTCTCTTGGACTACTATGCACCTCTTGGAAGTCTCCAGTTGAAACTAATATACAATTTGCTGTTTAGTATATTATGCAACCATTATGCACAGCCTTAGAGGTCCCTGTCTGGGAATCCTCAGACTAAAAGTTATTTCGATACTAACAGACTGCTCAGGAATTCACATTCAAGCAGCTCATTTTAACAAAGCAGAATGTGACTGTGTGGTCTATCCCAATACAATCTCTTTTAGCACCTATTCTTAAGAAAAAAAAAGATCATAATGTATCAAAAATTTGAAACTACTTACAAACTAATTACTCAAACAGGACAAATAGTAGTCCTCCAGAATAAAATCAATTCCACACACACACATTATCAAAGATGCAGGAGCTGAACATAACTATAGTAAAATCTGCTTATTCTTTTAAAATATAAACTACTTTTTTATCTACCCTGCTGGAAATCAAAGTACCTTTCATCTTGTTTTCTGATTTATCCAGTCCACTTTCTTTCATCAGTCGTCTAATTGACTGGAGTTGTGTCATTATTTCATCTTTCTGCTCACAAGCTAAAGCATTAACACTAGGAAAAAAAGACAGACATCAACAGCTGAAGCATTACTTTCGAAATGAGTGCTTGACAATAATGCACAAGATTTCAATATTTCCTTCCATGGATATACCATAGTTAAGTTAGCAACACATTTAGGTCAAGCATTTCTTTGAGAACTGTCTCCTGAGAAGTGGAGAGCCCACCACATACACCTAGTGAATAATCTAGCCACTGAATTCTAACATTGGAGCCCACATGACCAAATTCAGTAATGACTACTGAAAGAAACAACTATCCAAAGTAGTTTTATTTTTAGTACAACAATGCCTAAGATACAGCTTCACAGTTTAAAGGCTTTTCTCATTTATTTCAGATTTTGTTTACTCTCTCTGCTCCACATTACTACTAGAAATTTGTTAGGTAAATTGGTCAGTGAATTTGTCTAATTACGGTAAGTAATTAAAGAAGGTTCCTAAACACTATTCCCTACATATAGATAAGGAACATTTTTAAAACTATTTGTTAACATTTTGGAGAATTTTAATTTACAGAAAAGAATACTGAGGTATTTTAGGAGCACTCACCAGTTTGACAGTGGATCCAACTGAGTCAATAAGGAATTTAACATTTTCTCTGTCTGTGCTAGATGCTGTTCCAGTTCTAAAAGCTGATGCTCTAACAAAAAAACAAAAGCAAAATTAAAAAGGAGGCAAGAAGAAGAGAGAGGAGGAGGAGAGAAAAAATTGTAAGAAATGTATTTACAATACGAAAAGGATACTAATTTAGATTTTTGGTTTGGCAGACTCAAAAACAGGAAGTTTTTTTCTCTATAAAATTCTAGAATATGAAAAAGGAGTGGTAAAGGTAACAGAAGCCTTACTACATGTGACCA